CTGGCGTACGAAGGTATTACGCGATAAAAATTGTTAACTATCGTACAAATACTATCGACATCATTCCGTCTACATGACGATCGAAAATCGATCGCTCGAAGAAAAATATTGCCTTTCCATTGGACAAATATGCACATTTATGCACGTTATGAAAGTGTGTGTGTGTGTGTATATATCTTAGGCATACGTGTTTCTCTCTACAGGAATGGGTAGTTTTCAACGTATAGCGTTGCATATTAGTGCCACACAGTGTAAACATTCCCCATGACGAAATTGTTATATTGGTCGATCACTATCGTATTAATCCATTGCGTAAATTGCTCAGCGATTAATCACTTCAATACCTTTATTGACTATGTATCGAACTATCTTAATCGGATTATCAACTTAATTCAATTTCCAACCATGGAACTGAACACCGTAATATCCATAAAATAAATGTGGACGTGAGCTAACATTCTAACAATTTTGCTCGTTGATGAATGATACGAACGAATCGAGAGCGAGATGAAAACTGATAAGTGCAAAGTAATTGACACTTATCGGCTGAATTAATTTCAACTACCGACTACTCACTCTAGCCATGGAAATAAAGATTCAGATAACGTTTAGCTTCAGACAGTATTTAATATCGTTTATAATATTTATTAAATTTTATAATATTTATTATTTAAATTTTATAATATTTATTAAATTTTATTCATTTATTAAATAATATTCATCAATTTTATTCATTTTGTCAAAAAAAAAAAAAAAATTAATATTAATTAAAAATTCTAATATTAATATTAATAAAAAATTCTATTGCTATAATATAAAAAATGCAAACAGGGCATGTATTAAATTTAAAAAAGGCAATAAACAATCTGAGATGAAGTTGGTCAATGTGCATTACATTAAAGTTTAAAAAATACACATTTAAAAATGTTTCAGATTTTGAAAATGAATTATTATGGCAGAAGATTGAAATAATTCTGAATCGAGAAGTAAAAATAAAGAAATAAAGAAAAATTTCAAATTCAAAGAAAAAATAGTTTTCTCAACATTTTTTTCTTTTTAATGTTACTATTCAAGATTAAAGTAAGTGCATGGAAAAGCGTTGCTGTGTTAAAATTTAATTGAAACCAGAGTAACTTTTTGCCACGAAATTGTAATAAATGAAATTAAACACTGTCTGGTTAATTTATATAGTAATTACTCAATACAATTGAAAATTAATTGTTCAAACCCTGCACCGATCCTAGTTACCACTGGGAACTTTTGGGACTATCCAACATAAGCGAAACAAATTTCACTATTAATATCCTATGCATCTATCGACAATGAAATCGTTGAGTCTTACAGGTACCCACTAACGTCTTGAGAGTTTCGTGAATTAAACATTGGTCAGTTTCTTGTCTATTCTTCTTCGTTATTACTTTGCTTTATATACACTTCTTGTATGGACGATTAACACTTTTCCCTATGTAACTTCGTCACTCTGCGAGCGTTCGCAAAATTAATTATATACTTACGTACACGAGCGTGTGGACGCACGTGTGGAATGTACAGGATGTTTCGCTAATTTCTATCACTTGAAACATAACCTAATTTTTTAGCTCCCACGTTACGTACGATTACTCGGCGATTAATACGAAACGTTAGACAAATGTACAGGTAAAAGTATATACAAAACTGCAAAACATAGCAGCGCAAGAAGACTTAATATATGAAGACTGGCTGCAAGGAGAAATGGTTAGCGTATTGTCAAACATACTTATGTTAATATGCAACTAATCCGATAGAAGCTGCTTTATCGTGCGATCTTTCATTTCCTCACAATACACGAGGCAATCGTTCAAATACCAAAAAATGATCCAAATTTATAAAATTTGAATTATTATCTTTATAATACGAATTATGCATAATAATTATTATACGTTAAATTTAAGTGGTTGCTCTAATTGAAAGTAATCCGAGCTGATAAGAGTCAGGTTTTGCTTCCAATACTGTATAATAATCCAGAAATTTAATAAAACGAAAATTCAATATTGTTAGTAGTATCAGTGAAACAACCTGTACGAGTACATAACACGCACACTCACACACACACACATATATATATATACATTTAGCTATTAGGTAGTATATCACATGCAATTTAAATAGGATTGTCAAACACGTATCTGTATAGACACAGTGTTCCTATTCTTATAATGATGCTGCATATGGTAAATATAATACGAGGTAATCACTGAATTACGTGCGCATGCACATGTAACTTCACGCGAGAAAGCTTTCTCCAACTGGAAGGAGAGTAAAGAAATTTTCACACGCGTAGAAGGAATTGGACGAATGAAAAAAATGGCGTTACTTTTTGGTTATGTAATCTCTCCTAGTTTCCGCTCTCTAAACAGATCCAGCGATTAGATTCCGATAATCGGACATTTATTTCTCGATATCACATCCCAAGTTATATAGTAGTGTGGAACGGCGGTAAAAGCGACTGGCTGAAACGAAAAATGGCTGGAAAGAAGAATGAAATACCAACGATAAGGAAGAGAACACTGAACGAATTGGCTGCGTTCGCTTTTTGTTTTTTTTTTTGCCGTGATACATCGGTAACGTTCTTCAGCGTTAAGTTATGTACAAATTGGCATTATATATATATATATATAT